CAGCGACTATCTCGTAGTGTATCTGGGGAATTGTACGGTGTGAACATACTCTCTCGCCGATCATGTAGACCGAATTCTGGATGCGGCAATCGGGAATAACGGGAATCACGGAAGCATCAGCGATGCGCAGGTTCTTGACGCCATGTACGCGGAGCTCAGGGTCGACTACACCCTGGTGGATGCTCTTTGACAGACGGGCAGTTCCGCAGGGATCTATACAAGAGACCTTGTTAGCAGCTGGTACATCGACATATTCACTAGAAGCACACTTACGGAACCCAGTCTGACTCCTGTCCAAGACGGCTCTCTTCATCTCCTCATCAGAATGAAGAGGCATCTTCCACGGATACTCCGAGACAACAATGTCCTTGAACCCTTCTCCCGTGGTCAAGAGATCATAAGTCCAGCGCACGCCCTCGCGCATAGCCAGGATATCCAGGTCATTAGCGAAGAAGTTGAGATTGATGTTCGGCTGGACAAGGGCGCTTGAACTGTTCAAGGTGACCTCACCCTCGGAAAGCGGGCGTAAAAGGTCGACAATGACAGTCATGTAGCTGCCCTCCTCTGGGACGGGGTAATGCCACTGAAAGGCAGTGCTAAACATGCCAACAAAGTCGAGCTCGAAGTGAGGCTGCCCAGCAGGCCCAAAGGGGTCGAGGCCTCCGTTGGCAGCCTTTGCCTCGCGGTAGTTTTCATGCTTATTTAGCCGCTCATCAATACGAGGGAAGCCAACGAGTTCCAGCAGCCCAGAGCCGATAGGGCCGGTCTTGTCACGCTTATAAGAAGCCACGGCCTGGTCATTAAGAGGTCCCTTTCGGAGAATATAATCATCGAGACCATAGCCATCCTTGATCTTAAGGACAAACGGAACAATAGGGTGATCGAGAAGGTGCTGGCCGACATGAGGGGAGTTGACCTTGGTAGTGATGCCGTGACGAGACAGCTCGGCCGATGGACCAACTCCACTAAGCATAAGAAGCTTGGGGGTTTCAAACACTCCCTGGGATAGAATGACTTCCCTACTGGCGTAGACACTTATCTCAGTGGCTGCGGCTTCGCTGACGATGGTCACTCCGACACAGGTATTTGTTGACGGGTCGATGATGAGCTCCTTGGAGCGAACCCCATAGACAATGGTGACGTTGGGCTTGTTTTTGAGATACAAGAAACTTCCTTGGCGCTGGCCGTCGTAAATGGTGTCACAGCAGTGAGTAAGGCCCCTCATCTCACCCTCATAAATGTCTTCGGTAAGGCGCTCCCCCTTTGAGACCCAGGCTGTGGTGAGGGCATCACGGAAAGGCTGCATCTCCGGGACCAGATCGGCATGGGCAATATTAATAGGGCCGCCGGTGCCAATCTTCTTTAGTTCAGCTGGATACAGCTTCTCGTCATCGTGGTACGTGGCACACTTGCGCAGGTAATCTACACAGTTGTCCCAGTTCCACTGCTGGCCACCAAACTCCTGCCAGTCGTCGAACGTTGCGCGAGACCCGGGTATCCAAGTGAAATAGTTGGCGCAGGAGCTTCCACCAAGCACCTTACCACGGGTGTTGGGCTTTTCGATTCGCTCATAATCATCCCGTTTGATCATGGTTGACTTGTAAGCCCAGTCGTGTTTGCTCCCTCGGAGTCCAAAGGCCTGTGAGGGAGTGGTGATGGCTTCAAGTTGATCGGGGTTGGGAGCGCCGGCTTCTACAACGAGGACGCGGACCTTTGGGTTTTCGGCGAGACGGCCGGCTACCGCATTACCAGCAGTGCCGCCGCCGACGACGATGAAATCGTATTCGTTGCCATTGGAAACTGTTGCCATGTTGTTTCGTTTCAAATCGACGTGAATATGAAATAAGGGTGGTTATGCTGATTGATGTCCAAGTTGTTGGGCCGATGATGAAGTTGCGAGGATATAATTGCTGGGCATTTTAAACGAGAACAGCACCCCATGATGATATATATATACTTCTTTCCCCCTAATCATGATTTGATATAAAAACTTTCCAAAGGATACCGAAGTCTGGCGACAGGGTCGGGCCATCCGGGCCTCTCCATGTTGAAGTGGGCATGATGCTGTCATAGCGATTCCGTTGTTGGCAGCCTCGGTGCTTGTTGGCCTGCATCAAGAACCAAATCCAGTAATAGTAAACAGGATCTACCCGCAAGGCTCCAATGAAGGCATTCGGAGTTGATAGGAGAAGCATTTGCCCCAGTGTCCCACCGTCGTGTCAAAACACCCAGCCTGCATTGTGGTTCCTCATCCAACGTAGACTTGCCCTTCGGCGTCTCGGGCTTGAAAAGTGGAATCCGCCCTCTTCTATGATTGGTGGGAATGGGAGCGCGGACTACTCTCGGCGTCTTGGTCCAGCAACGGCGGAAGGATCGGGAACGCTCCTATTGGCTAATTCGTCATGGACGGCCAGGACTCGGCATCTTGAAAACAACATGGATGCCATGAGATTTCCTACAACGGTGCTATTACGAGGCTTCACACTTGTCCCGGGCTGGTTTCGGCATGTCAAGTCCAAATCTCAACTGATCTGTGGGGCCGAATAATTTCTAAGAGGCCGATGAAGAAGCGTGAAAACAAATAAAATATTTTTCATAAAAACAAAAAAAGAAAGAAGCGCAATGCATATGAAAGGTGGATCTTGGCCATGGCGATAGGAATAGTATAAGACTTGCCTTTAATCCGTATAACATGGATTCAAGCTTCGAATATTGGTCAAGAACCTGGCATCAATCATCTGTTCTCCTGGATTTCCTCACTCTTCAGGCTAATCTGCTGCAACTCACAAGCTACAAACCAATCCTCACAATCATGTCTAAGCCAGTGTTTACACTTGCCGAAGGTACGCCTTCACCTTTGTATACTCGCGGATTGAACATTTCTCACAAATTCGTCAAGGACAACCCCTTTCGGACCCTTCGGTCAGCACAACATTACCTCTGTTTGGTGGTGGAAGCCTGACGACCTTGGGTGACACCCTTCTCCTCGAAACATTGGCGCACTTCAACCGAGAAAGAATCCCAGAGCGGTTCGTACATCTCTTGGAAACTAATAACACAACCTGCCGGTACTGTCTTGACAGTTGACACTGACTAACTTGCCTCAGAGTGGTTCATGCCAAAGCAGCCGGCGCATGGGGAGAGTTTGAAGTAACCAACAAGAATATTTCCTCCTTGACCACGGCCAAGTTTCTCAGCAGTCCCGGCAAGAAGACACAAGTTCTCTTCCGCCTAAGCACAGTTGGCGGTGAAAAGGGAAGCGCCGATACGGTTCGTGATGTTCGAGGCTTTGCTGTCAAATTCTTCACGGAACAAGGCAACTTTGACATTGTTGGCAATGACATTGTACGCACCCTCTTTCCCCCCCGTCTACGCCGAGTTCCGTCTCTGATTCATCCATCGGCAGCCCGTGTTTTTCGTCCGCGACCCCGTGCGATTCCCCTCGCTCAATAGAAGCCACAAGAAACATCCTGCGACGAACAGACCAGACTGGACCATGGTAAGTACCAACATAAAGCCATGTGCTCTCCTACCTTGTGTACGTCAAGCTGATGTTGCATGTAGTTTTGGGACTTTCACGTCAATCAGCCAGAGAGCGCCCATACCCTGATGCATCTCTTCGGCACTCGCGGAGTACCCGACTCGATCCGGCGGGTGAACGGCTTCGGCGTCCATACATTCAAGCTCGTCGACAACGAGGGCAACTTCAAATACTGCAAGTTCCATTTCCGCCCGGCCCAAGGCATCGGCCACCTGTCCGACCAAGAAGCAGAGCGCATAGCCGGCGTCGATCCCGACTTTCATACAAAGGATCTCTGGGACGCCATTTCCCGCGGAAACTTCCCCGTCTGGAAGTTGTATATTCAAGTCATGGAGCCCCGTGACGCCGAAAAGCACGGCCGCATAGTGTTCGACATCACCAAAGTCTGGCCGCACAAGGAATTCCCCCTGATCGAAGTCGGCCAGATGACGCTCACCCAAAACGTGCGACCCCAACGACCCAAAACGATAGGATGACGAGCTTGACTAACACTGCCGCAGCCAAAGAACTTCTTCGCCGAGATCGAGCAAGCTGCCTTCTCGCCGTCCAACCTCGTTCCTGGCATCGCCGCATCCCCAGACCCAAGTAAGCAAGCGCCTCCCAAAACAAACACAAGTCGCTCATGACTTTTCAAATCGCAGTGCTGCAAGCTCGCATGTTTGCCTACCCCGACGCCCAGCGGTATCGCCTCGGCGTCAACTACACACAGCTGCCACCGAATCGACCAATAGCCCCCGTCTACGCTCCATACGAGCGGGACGGCGTAACCACGAGCTCAAACTACGGAGGGGATGCGAATTATGTCCGCGGCACTCTCGGCCCGGGCGTGGCCTCGCGCTCTGCCACAACGCAGATCAGACACCTCGAGCGAGTTCACCCGGCTGCCACCCTGGGACTGAACGAGCTCGCCGTGACGGAGGAGGACTTTGAGCAGCCCCGAGTCCTGTGGCAAAAGGTCTTTGACGAGGCGGAGAAGGCGCGCTGGATATCCGCCGTCAGCGGGACGTTGGAGGGTGTTCCTCCTCCTCTTCGAGAAGCAGTGCGGTCGTTGTTTAGTCGGGTCGATGCGCAGATTGGGCAGCTGCTGTCTGCTGAGGACAAAGAGGCCTCGCATCTGTAGTATATATTGGCCGAGAATAAGCCCAAGCGGCACTTATATAGCGCTAATAGACTATCCCGCTTCATCATATTCTAGTATAGGGGGAACATGGATGTAGGTGCCGAATGGAGGGGAGAGATTCGTGTTTCAACTAAACGTGGCCAACATCCAGAAAACGTACAAACACCGTCACGGGATAGATTTCGTCTACCATGATTCAGTATATTATATTCAACTCTAAACGCCAGTAGGCATCTCGCATGCCATGCCCTGACCAGCAAACCCCGGGCTTCAGTCCGCCCGTGGCACTCTATTTCTCAGACAATGACAAAAATTAGCGGCCCATCCCCTTAAACTCGGCTAGTCCATATTGACCAACACGTCCATAAACCTGTTAAAGTCGTTGGGCACGCCAAGGCCCGTAATCGCATCGTACCCCTCGGTGGCAGGCCAGCCCCCGGGCTCCTTTCCCCCAGAGAACTTGCACGAGAAGCTCTGTCCGGCCTTAATGTCCTGCAGGACCTCACGAACCTCGTCCGAGTACAGCCTCTTGTTCAACCAGCCCAAGACGGGCTTCCCCTGACGAACACGCGCGTCATTCACCAGGGCAATCATGCCAGCGAGGACGGGGGTACTCGCGCTGGTCCCATCAAGCATAAAGGGGGTCCCGTTGATGACGGTCTGGAACCGGGTGCCGATGGCGGAAATGTCCGGCACGGCACGCATGCTCGAGTTATAGTAGCCCTCTAGGTGGCCGTTAAGTGCGGCGATGTACTCGCTCACAGCGGCGTCCTGCCAGTCCGGGCGCTTAAAGTAGGCCGAGAAGCCGCCAGAGCTGAAGACGGATCCGTTTGGCGGCTCCTGGCCGTTGTTGACGGCGCCGACGGATGTGACCCAGGGGCACGAGGCTGGGAAGGTCGAGATGGTCATGTCCCTGTTGCTCCCGTCGTTGCTGCGGCAGGTCGCGTTTCGGCCGCCCTTGGCGCCGCCGTCACCGGAGCCGCTGAGGACGGACACGCCGCGGCTGGCGAGCATGCCAATCTCGTTGCAGACGCGGATGGCGTAGGCCCTAGGCACGGACAGCTCGTCGTCTGCGTACGAGATGGACAGCACGTGGGGGAGCTCCTCGTTCTTCTTGGAGGAGAGGTGGTGGAAGAAGTCGAGGTAGGGCTCGTTGTCGTCCAGCTCGCCGGTAAGGGGCTCGCCGTTGTCGCCAATCTTGACACCACGGCCGCCGGTGGAATAGTAGATGACGTTTGTGGGGTATCCAACGGCCATGCCGAACTGAATGTCCAGGTTGGCCTCGGATCCGGCGGTGCCCAGGTCCTGTTGGTTCTCGCCGCCGTTGATGAGCTCCACGGTGAAGTTGTAGCCGGCCTTGACGAGGTCGGGCCGCGAGTGTTCAAAGCTCCGCCTCGTGTCGTCGTAGTTGGCCCATTGTTCCAAGAAACCGGCGATGCCGAATCGAATGCACGACTTGCCGTCGGGGGTCGTGTAGTTGATTCCGTACAGCTTGTTGATGCAGTCGGGAGTCGTGGTGGGCGAGCAGGCGACATCACGGCGGTGCAGGCCCGCGTCCTCGGCCAGCGGCGGTGCAACGGATACCTCGTGCTCGGGCGTCATGAAGTTGGCAATGGGATGGATGAAATCTATGGCTGTGTCAAGGGAGTCGGGGATGTTGTACTCGGGGGCGCGAAGAATGGGCTTCTTGCCGTCGTACGAGTACCGGCGAAGCTGCATATCAAGCAGGTTATTTGCTTCACCAACAGTCGTCGCAACGCGGATCCAGTCCGTGTCAACCTTGGCCTCGGAGATGCCATTGCTCGATAGCCACTCCATGACATGGTCTACATCGTCTTGTGCAGGCGTTCTGAGAGACCGCGTGTCGCCCATGCCCAGCAAGCCGTCGGCGAGGATCTTGGATGCCAGCCCGTGCATCTCTGGCTGCCTCAGCGCAATTGAGAACCGCATTGGCGTCGAGGGATCGGGTACCTCGTCAAGCATCTGCCATCCGTCGGGAATCGTCGTGGCCTTTTCGAGACATATGGCACCGGCACCGAGACGGGCAAAGGCGCACGCCGTCATCAACAGAGTCAGCGCCATGGTGAGGTGACGGTTGCTGATGATGTCTGGTGTGCGATGTAGATCAGGCGCGATGTTATATTATACCGCGAGATGCCAGTGTAGGCGTAAGTAGGAAGTCGGTAGGCAAATATATGATGCCACCACGGACTGGTCACTGCAGCCTGCAATCTCCATGGAAGCTCGTGAAACCTGAGCGCGGGAGACAATAACAATACATACTACTTCTGGCAAACACATGTACTAGTATTCCTTGAATTTGGAAGGAGCCAATGGGCAGGCCGTTGCCCCTGATGTGAATGCAATGTCTTGCATTTTTCCAAGACATACGTGGACCAGAATGGCCGTGCGCGGGTTTGTCAAGGCCATCGAGCCCCTTTTCGCCCTGAACTACTGGAATGTCAGGCCAGTTGAACAGTGAGCCGTGTAACTAGGCAAAAGTTTGCATCAGATCGACACGGGTGCCGCAACAGACAATGGGGTGAAGGGACGGTGCCGTGTTTCTCGAGCCATTCACCGTTGGTCCGGGACCATGACGTTGTTGACGGCTTCAACTTGCGACGCGCCAGTTTTCCCGATGCCAGATCCGCCAACGATCGCCTAGGCCCTCAAGTGCTAGTACTAGTAGTACTAATATCAGTAATTAAAGGAGCGGCTGTTTGGACCTCCAAGTGACCTCATCTTCCGTGTGGATTGTGGCTGGCTGCTCCGGCGCGAATCGGCAATTCCACAACGCTCATGGCGCGACTCGATGCTTCACGGCTGCGAGGCACAAAAACAGCGCGAGTGCAAGGACGCACTAGTACATACATGGTTCGCGAAGCACCAGTTTGCTCGTTACGGGCGCCCACAATAGATGGTTGTGCCGAAGCATCGGGGACACCAGGCGGAATGCCTCCCACTAGTTCGCAGAAATGGTGACATCTGGACACCCTTTGGTGCACCCAGCGTCTTGGCAGGGGGAAACAGCTGCAGCGTAGAGGGACAATGGTGTATCCCGTGCCAAGTCGATTATTTGATCGACATGTTGGCTGTTGTGCTCCCGGCCAGCGTTGTGTTCTTGTCCAGCCCATGACGGAGTACTTGACAGACAGAATCAAGGATGGACACTGTCTTTTTCGAGAATCGCGCCCATTGGCTGCTCGCCCTCTGAAAAGACCAGACAACTTGGGGCTGCGGCTGACCTGCTCACCTCCAAAGAGGCGTCAATATGTCGGGTTGGCAGGGACACCCCCATGAATATGCATACCTTGACTCTACATCCCAAGCTTCAAACGTTACCAGTACTGATACAATCTTCCTCGTCTCTGTTGGACCATGGCCAATAAGGAGTACAGGTCGCCAACTCCATTTGATGGCTTTCCATGCCAGGGCCGGGGTAATTTCCGGCCCCGTGTCCTCCATACAACATGACCGAATCCAGTAAACCCTCACAATCAAAGGCAACTGCTGCCGCCAGACTTGTAGTCGACTACATTGAATATTTCAAGAGGACGCCACTTGCTGGCGGGGAGAGGGCGACTGGTCCTCTTTATTCACGCGCCCGGCACTGGGCGAGTCATTTATCACAAGGTCCATGTGCCTGGCCAGGGTTGGGAATCGGACACGGCGCTGGAACCTCACCTGGTCCCGGGCTGATCCAAGGACCACCAGTGCTTAGTCCTAGGGGATGGGACGAACTGAAGGTGTTTGCGGCTGGACCAGGTGGGGAGTTGTGGTGCTGAACTGGGTGCATCGTTGGTTCAATGCTGTGGATCAGTAGTACCAATTGATGATTTGTAGTACTCCGTATGTAGTACGTATTGTATCCTCCTGGTGCAAAATCAGCATCCTATGCCCTGGTAACTGAGACGTCCATGTACATACACTTGCATGTAGTTGGGCGCCACAAAGCGCCGACTCTCTGGCTGGGATGGAAGGGCTGACCAGTTGACCTTTTTGCTGTCATCATCACAGTGGGCAAAGGATCAGAGGAAAACAGTCGATCTGGTAGTTCTGCCTTTATTAGCCATTGATGGCCTTACACGCGGGTCAAGTTGCCTCCCTGCAACAAGTCTGGTTGTCGGGCAGTTACACCGCGGTCCTTGGAAGAGTCATCTGAAACATCCGCGACATCCATTTCGCCTTCAAGGGCACACATGTGCTTTCTTGCATACGTCCGGTATGGATTTGTCGCCCCACGGCCCTGCGTGAGCGCACCAGACAGTGTGGACGAACAGGGCTATCCGAGAGACACGAAGCAACCCGCCATTTCCGTCTGATGGGCGAATGTGGATGTGAATGCAATCCTTAGTCCTCAAAAGGATGTCCCGTGTGCCTATTCGAGAGCAGCAGCGTAGTAGTTCGTTCCGGGGTTATGGCCGTGATTCCGGGTTTACAACGCTCCTAGCCCCGGCTCACCGCCGCAACATGTAAATCCCTCTTCACGTTCGCCTCCTTTGCCGGTAACAAGTTATACCAGATATCCCACACTTCTCCCATCATCAGCCCGCTCGAGTTCCACCGAGGCCTCGCCACCATCTCCGGTTATGGCATGGCTTCATGGGTTGGCCGCTGTCCTATCGAATCTCAAACTTTACTCGCGATCCTCTCGTCGTAAGCTTTGGCCCTAGCCACGGCAGGCGGGGCACTAAAATGCCGACTTCCAGCTCCCCAGGCCCGAGGAGCCGAAAGAAACACCTCTCCAGTTCTCAACTGTAGAATCCTGTGGATCGGGCGTTGAACACTGGTACCACGACGTGCATGTCAACTCCGCGACCGAGGCATGCCAACGCCGATCCCATGACTAGTTCATCTTGGACATCTGGACCCAGATATCCAATGAGGGCTTCCCAGGGCAAAATCTACAAGCATTATGATACTGTGACGGTGACTTGTGGCGTCGTTTCTTGCTTTCCTCATGAGACCCAGTGGAGTATGTTGTCGGATACAAAGAATCCTATTTGATGAAGGGCAAGTTGCGTCGATGAAACTAGTTCTACATGCTGCAAACATAATCTTTCATCATGTGCGAAACCCGGCCCGTCGGGATTTCTGCTGTGCTCTGCTGTCCCCCCAAGACGCAACATATATACGCGAGCCCATCCTTTCTGGTCGAGTTTTGCTGCTTCTTCTCTCTAGTCCCCCTAGACTACACCAGACAGACCCTTTGTCCCTGGCTAGCAGAAACAAAAACGTCATGACGGGCATCAATCATTTGAATGTATACTCCGGGCCAGACTCTGTGAGAAAATACTTTGATCCAGAATGCCAACCACCACTGCCGCTGGTCGAGATCCCAGAATGCCTCAACCCCTACAGGGCCGATGGCGTGCGCATCTACGCCAAGATGATGTCGATGCATCCGGCAACCAATGTCAAGGTCATGCCAGGTGCGTTTGTCTTGACCTTGTTGCCACCGTATACATCACATCCTGTCCAAGGGCTAAATCTGTAGAGCAGCCATGAATCTGCTAGAAAAGGGCATTGACAAGGGGAAAACCACCACCGTGGTGGAGAGCTCGTCCGGGTCAACCGTCATTTCCATGGCAATGGTCGCCCGAGCCTTTCACGGCATCAACGACGTGCATGCGTTCCTGAGCAACAAGACGAGCGAGACCAAGCTGCGCCTGATGCAGTTCTTCGGCCTCAACGTGTAGGGATCATAATGCCGGTTCCCCTCTGTCGCAATTGATTCTAATGGCGTCGCATAGAACTCTCTTTGGCGGCCCGGCTCAGCCAACGCCCGTCGATGAGCGAGGAGGCATTCGTGCGGCTTCCCGAAAGGCCGCCGAGTCGGAATCTGTGTGCAGCCCCAACCAGTACCAGAACGATGACGTGAGTTTCGCCGCTCCTGATGGGTGTGACGAGACTCTGACAACTTGGCAAACAGAACTGGAAAGCCCATGTTCGCTGGACCGGACCGCAGATCCATAAACAGTTGCCCAATATCAACGTTATTGTAGCTTCCATGGGCACATCCGGTACGACTACTCCGTGCTTGTCATGCCAATGTATCCTCAGTGGTTCGACCGATTGTCAATACTGACCAAGACGGACCAGGCACCATGACTGGTCTCGGCACTTACTTCAAGCAAGCCAAACCGTCGGTTTACCGAGTTGCGTAAGTCCTGTGCCCCGGCTCCTCCGTTGTCCTGGCCATACTGACGGCCACCCCCCATGCAGCGTCTGCACGAATGCCGGGGAACGAGTCCCTGGGCCCCGGGAGTACTCTCTCATGAACGAAGTCAAGTTCCCCTACAGGGCCGCCGTCGACGCCCTGGAGGAAGTCGGGGCAAAAGAGTCGTACAGCCTCTCCTTGGATCTCACCAGACAGGGCATCGTGTGCGGGCCGTCTTCCGGCTTCACCCTGCAGGGCCTGTTTCAGCGTCTGGAGAAGAAGAAGCAAGACGGAAGTCTGTCGCAACTGGCCGGCTCCGACGGCGAAATCAACTGCGTCTTCATCTGCTCGGACCTGCCCTACCAGTACCTGAACGAGTACTTTCAGAATCTCGGGCCCGAAAAGTTTAGCCCCCTGAAGAACGAGGTATATGATTCCATGTCCATCCGTGTGTGATTGTGCTTGTCCAACCCCTCTCGGTGAACTGACTGGCAAAACGCAGAGACTTCGAAACGTCGATCTCTACCGATACGACGACGCGTGGGAGAGAGGCGCGCTCGACGCCTTGGCCGACTTCTTCGCCATCCAGCCCACGGCGAGCAACTGTACTGTCCTCTCGCTTGCTGCCGGCGGCCCGCGGGAGCTGGGGAAGCATCTCGCCGCCAGGCCGAATACCCAGGTCCTCGACTTTCGCCGCGCCGCCGATTTCGATGCCTTCCACCTGCCCAACTCGGTCAACGTTCCTCTCGAGACTCTCAGGGACGGGGCGGCTCGCGGCAGTCCCTTTGCCCACCCCGTGGACGACGGCACCATGCTGGAAGAACTGTGGCTCGAGCTTGAGGCTATCTTCACTGCGCGGGACAAGGACGGGAAGAGGAACCCGGGCGCCGAGGCCCTGATGGCCATTTTGAGGAACAAGAAGGTCCTGACCATCTGCTACGATGGTGATAGTGCTAGGGTTGCAAACAGCGTGCTTCGCCACAAGGGCATTCGGGCGGACAGCATTTCGGGAGGGATCGCGGCCCTGTCAAAGGTCCAGCTTCCCAATGCCGGTGCCGCCCAGCAAGCAAGTCATGTTGTCTCTGTTGAGGCCTAAATGTGGGCATAGGGTCCATCATCGCCATGCAGTATCGATGAGTTTGTGCTTGATGGATCTCAGGAATGGGTACCGATGGCCGTATTCCATGGTTTCTTTGGACATTTATTCTGATTCTTGTTTCATTATTCGACCTCGGTCGATGGGGGTTTTGTCCAGAAGAGCAGTAGGCTTCTGGGACGTTGTTCAACCTTTTTTTTTTTTGCTCCTCCCTACAGCTACTCATCACGAAACTTTATTCACGGGGGCAAACTAGATCGAGACGAGCGGTGAAGGCGTGTTTCCGAAGCTCTGGGACGAGCAATGGGCGTCTTGCAGGGTCGTTGGCCGGGCGAAACCAAACAAAACGTTTCCTTCTCGTCGTTCTTTCTGACTCTATCGTCCGTATACTAACGGGACGTGGATTAGATTATGGACATGAGCGCCTTTTGCTTTACTCATTTAGTAAGAAGCGCGTTGGCATTTGGCGACCCGCTGCTGGGTCTGGTCTTGACTTAACAAGCTTGGCATTTCGAGATGAACTGTCTCTTCAAGCCTTTTCCGCCCACGAAGCAATAGTCTTGTCAACCCCTGATGTCTAGAAGTGCGCAGGATTTGTGTTGTGAGATCGCCCTGGCTTGCGGCTCTCGTGTACTGACGTGCTGATTTGGACATGTGTGTTGGCCTGTTTCGTGAATCCTCTTGCTCATGCCTTGCCAACACGTCGTGCGACGAGCACTTTGGACCAAACTCGTCTTGAAGTAGTTGATCACTAGTGGTGCAAGCCCTCCCAGCCATGATATCCGCAGCTCATCCAATACTATTATTATTTTTCGTCCGAACCACGTAACTCGCTGACCCTGTTTGCCCGCACACGAGCCCATCTCATAAGCCCTAGAGAGACTGGATGGTTGCGGCGAAATTTCAGCTTGATCCCAAGACCCGACTAAGCAGAACGCTAGCCAAACCATTGAGAAGCGCAACTTGTGTCTTGCATCCAATCCCCAGCACCGCGGGAAGCCAACAGCCACCATACGCCATTTCACTCATCACCAATTGCCCCTGTGACTAGTATGGTGGCTTGCCGCCATGTCCGCAGACTACAGGAAAGCCACAGCCGGTGTGGCAGCCACTGGCCAGATTCGGCGCTCCGGTGCTCATTGAAGGCCTCGTGGCCGTCGTAGTGGTCCCGTCAAGGCAATGCAGCCCGGCAGCTTTATCCCAGCCTGTCTGTTGTTGGTGCTCGCCTCGTCGTTTGCTTGGGTCAGTGTGTGAGAAGCATGACTTGAAATTCAGTTATCCTGATGATGAATGTTGCAGAAAATCTCACCGATACACGGTGCCAAGGGACGATTTCGCTGAGAGTACTACTCCGGACGGACATCTTTGTCCTGAGGGTCGTGAGAACTAACATTGAAGTCTTCTCCACTGTGACCCATCACGATGCTGACGACGACGAGGCACGGCCATGCCACTCGCATAGTGGGGAGTCCGTCGCCCTGACGAGCCTTGTAATGGCCAGTCGTGTAAAGTGCGCATCTGCCCGTTGAGTGCTCTGTACTCTGCAGACTATCGCGCCTCGAGGCGTCGGTGTGTCGTCCGACCTCCCGCAACAAGGCCTCGTCAGCTTCCTTTGCCACCACGATGACCCCTTTTACCCGACAACGTGGTTCCAATCCACCTTCACTCTGTAGTGAAACACCAAAAACCCCAATTCCATAAATGAGTTCGAGACCCGATAGCCGGCGGCATCGAGTGGCGCTTGCCCACCATCGGTCTTGGTGAGCCTGGAACTAGCGACGGATGGCACGCAAAGGCCCTTTCATCTCGTTCTTTTTTCTTTTGTGCCCTTTGTTCCGCTCCCGGCCCAACAGCCACATGGATAAGCAGCTGTGGGCGGCACTGCCGAGGATGGATGACTGTGATACCGAGACTGTCGTCGCAAAAACCCAGCCGTGGCTGGAACAAAGTCTCGCAAGACGTCGTCGAGACTCGACGCACTCGCTCACTCGGCTCGACGTGACGACTGGCTGCCCATGCTTATGTAGCATCAGCATCGTATTTGAGCTCCATTGATCAGAGCGAGGGCTGCCTACCTTGGTCCATGTGTACGGAGTAGCTGCAGGTCTTGCAGGGTTGGGTTGTGTTGGCAAACAAGCTCTTCCTGAGCTTTTGTCCGTTATCACAACCCTGGTCTGATTGACACAATTCATCAAAGGGACACAACACCCATCTGATGGGCCAGGGCTGGATGGTGGGGTGACAAGGCGCATCGTGTGCATTGTGTGATACACCAACAAGCACGAAAGAGAACAAGAGACAGGGAACAGGGCTGTGCGTCCTTCGGTGCGATGGGGATCGTAGCTGGGCGTTGCGGAGCGCCTCCACCGGGTAGTAGTTGGGCCTGCGGTAGGTCGGCATCATCTGATATCAAATGGCTGGTTTATTTAACTACGACTTCCGCCGTATCATCAGAGGCAGGCTCGTTGATGCTCGCCTTTTTCGATACACCCGGGAATTAAAGTACCGGCGGTGAAGCTTTTTTTATTTATTTACTTATTTACTTATTTGTCTTGGCGGTTGTTTCTTGTTCTTGTTTCATGTTTCATGCTTCCACGGTCTTGTTTCTCTCCCACCCTCTGTTCATGTTGTGTCTCCCGCCTTCTTGTTCGCCCGTCTGGTGAGACAAGCTGCAGAAAGGAGCAAATAACAAGGAACGCTGCATCTCTTTGCCCTGCGCGTCGGTTCTTGAAACCGGTTTTGACCTAATTTGCCTACCATGCAGTGAGCCGGCGATCCGAACCAAGATTCAAGCAACAGGCAGGGTCCTGCCACTCTGTGTCGGAGAATACTCGACTCTCTCACCTTGGTCTCTGCATCGCCACTTGTGTCCTGCTATATCACAGCCTGACGCGTATATTTGCCTCGGACTCTTTCTGCTTTCTTCTTTGGCCGTTTCATCTTCTTCATCTCTTCATCTCGTTCCTCTTGGGTTGTGCTGCCTCCTCAAGAATCTTTCATTTCTCCATCGCTTGTTGAGAAGAGAAAAAGAAAAAAAGAAAAGAAGAAAAGACGCCGTTCTAGACCCGGCACTTCTTGTCATGTCCAGATCGTGGAGCAGACGGCATGCACCTGCAGGCCCAGCGGCAATGCCTCCAGCTACACCGCAACCCCAACCCCAACCCGAACCCCAACTGCACCAGAAGCATCACCACCAGCCGCAGCAGCCAGGGCAGCAGCTTCGCCGCGTGACATCATTCACACAGCGCTTTCGAGGCCGCAAGCCTGTGTCTCCCACCGCCGCAACCACCACCACACCACAATCAGAGGCTCACGACGCAGCTCCAGCTTCGGGACAGCTTCGCCGGCGACCGGCCTACATCCCCACCCACGCAGCCGCCAGCTTCGCGAGAACCGTGTCACCGCTGTCGACGCCTCGTATCGACGAGCGGGATGAGCTCGCGTGCGACGAGACGTCGTGGTCGCCAAGGATGATGCACTCCACATCCGCTGCAAGGGAGCGCCACGTTCCGTCAACCACCACAACCACAGCCGCGAGCACCAGTCCCTCTGCTGCCTCGCACCGCGCACAGTCCGACGTTGGTGAGCCGCCGCTCGACGACGACGATTACGCCGCCTTTTTGGCCGAGGCCGAGGCGAATGACCGTGCCTTTCGCTCGCGATGGGCCCAGAGGGAGAGGGAGAGGGAGCGCGGGCAGCAGTGGGCGCTGGGCAGTCCCGCCACCTCGCCGCAGGGCTGCTTCAAGGGCACGGCGCAGAGGGACAGCGCCTATTACTCGGTCGCGTCCGTGTCGCCGAGCAGCATGAGCGGACATGGGAGCGGACCGCAGAAACAGGCGCTTCACGGCCGGCGGTCTGCGCCTGTGCCTCTGCCCGTGTCCACGTCCATGCCCGCGTCCACGTCCACGCCCACGTCGCCGCGGGCTCTGCATCACAAGCCGAGCAAGACGCTGGGGAGGCGTATTTCCGAATACTTCAAGCCTTCATCAAAGGCCGGCGTGGCTACAGTTGCATGAGTGAATGAATTCAGCGTGGGGCGGGCTGGGATACATAATAGTAATAATACCTACCTCGGTATGTAGGTAGTCGTAACGAGGCATGATATCAATGGTTGCAAAGCGCGTGCGGTTACAAAAGATACAGGTAGATACGTACGCATCTTGTCAGAGTAATATATTCCAATGGGGAATAGTCAACATTCCTCTTTACACCAAAGTACGGCCACACAAATCGGGTGCCCAGTGAAACCAGTTTTGTCCAACAATAATTCTCAGAAAGAAAAAAGAGAACCCCGTGGTGACCCCTTCCGTCGATATGCCCCGTGGTCCTTGCAATTCAACGAATCATGTCCTGGCCAAATCTCACAAGACCAACCGTCGATGAACAAGAAATAAAAGGTTCAAACGGTTCGCTTCCCATCTCCACCTTCAACGATATTGTACCAATACCAAAAGACCCCAAAGAGGTGCTGTGTCGTCAAACCAGCCCCTCATCAACTCCACAATGTCCAGGGATGAAATAAAAACAAAACCCGAAATGCAAGATATCCAAACATGGCATGTAATGAATATGGCGTGAAATAAAGAACAACATGATTAAGAGGTATCCCCGCATAAATGAATGCAAACCCACTTCCATATGCTGGATTTTGTCATAAAACTTCGTTAAATGTGATATATGCTGAATATCGTACCGTATGCCCCTCCCTTCAGAAGCATTGTCGCCCAAGGGCAACGGCCGTCTGTGGAGTCCATCCGAAAAAAAAAATGAACCACTCGCGTCATTGAGGATTATATTCCCATGGCGCCGGCTAGTCGATTACGGCCCGGCGGTAACTGGATCTCTTCGTCGTCAGAACTGTCCGCCAGCTCTGCTCCAGCATGATCCAGCATCCGCTCAATATCCTCGTCTCGCAGAGTCTTTCGGGCAGTGCCGTTGCCGAGACCGAGACCGCTGGGCAATGACAGTGTGGTTCTGTGTCGGCTCGCTAGACTCGTAGCCTGCCGTTTTGGCGTGGATCTGTTGTGGGCGGCATAATGCTGTTGCTGTGGCGAGTCAAGGTCCATAGGAGAGTGTGGCGGAGGCACGCCGGGTGACTTGTCAAATCCCACCTTCTTGGCTGAAGAGGGAGGCCGGCTTCCCGGCAAACCACGTCGAGGTCCAGACGGAAGAGCATGCCGTTCACCAACGCTCCTCGGAGGGGCGCTTGACTGTGGACCAGGCGAGCCCGATGGCGAAAAAGTGTGTTTTAAGCTGGCCGAGTTTCCAGGACTGCTCATAAACAAAAGCGTCTCAATGGCATCTTGCTCCCTGACGTTCTTATGGTGCGGTGAGTACATGTTGGCATCCAAATGACTGTGCGATCTTCTGATTCCGTTGCTGATGGGCGTGGTCTGCGCAGATGCATTGGCGGATGCTGAATGCGAGTGAGACAGCATAGTGGGTGTATATCGAGGGTTAGAATTCCGTCGTGGGTTCGACCTCGGAGCAGGCATCGAGGAAGATGGCTGGATAGACGCTGGCGGAGCCAAGGTTGGCTTATCGGAGTTCGCAGATGGCGGAGAATTCGATTTGCCCTTATAGTTCATCGATTCGTAGGTGAACTGCGGGTGAGAAGGCGTGACTGTCGAAGGCAAGCGCGGGCTCGCAGACGATCCCTTCCTTCCATGTACAGTGGATGTGCTCGAGGCTGGTGATGTGGCCTGGGAGGCCAGACTTTCAACCTCGTCCAGATTTCTAGCCTGCCATCCATTGTTCACCTTGACCATGGCGTAGGACAGTCTTGTCCGCAACTCTGCAGAAAGCTGTACCAAATCAGCATCGGCGCTCAGGCAGCAGGACAGCTTTCCCTTCGGACTCATACATACCTCACCTATCGTACTTCCGGCTGTCGAGGCAACGCTGACAGTACTAGTAGTCCGGGAATGTCCTTTTACCGGACTCATGCTTCCTTTACGATCTTTGACCTCGCCGTCAGCCATCCTCTTTCTCGGAAGCCCGGCGGCATCTAGCCCCAGCCTATCTTGCACAGCAGCAATAGCAGATAGTTGGTGCAGCTGGCTATCTTGACTAGATACACCCGTCGTCACTTCCGGGCCAACATTGGCATATCTGTTTTTCAACATGGCGGTTACCTCTGCAACCGGAGGACGTTCCACGCCACTACCCGAATCGCTTCCAGGGGGTGTGGCAACCTGGTCTGTTGCAGAGGACGCGTTGGAAGTCTGCGAATCAGTAATGGACTGGGTTTGGCTCTGGGACGAATTGGTGCCACTGTCGTGCCCTGAAGGTGCCAATTGATCTTGCCCGTGGACAGACTGGGAAGCTGGGTAAGGATCAATATCCATAGCGCTAACCACCGCCAGGATATTCTTCTGGGCGGTTTACCAGTTCGTGATCACGGTTGGGGTGAAATTCAAGCAAAGCTATGGAAAGCCGCGCGTGCCTGTCTATATCTTGTGTTTCAACAAGAATCTCGATGTCTCGAGGCGACTATTCGTATTGAGAGGGGTCTCGGGCGTTGTATTGCCGTGGACAATGCAGTACAACGCTTCCAGCTCTGTCAAGGACGTTGCCGCGCGTGTTGCAGATGATGACACGACGGCGAGTCGCGAACAATGGCTGCTGGTCTCTTGTTTCCCTGTGGGAAGCGCGACAAGAGCTTTGATTCGCAGTCACGCGACAGGTCCAGCGAAGAACGGGCGAGTAGCGATCAAATGAGTGTCGGGGGCGATAGACGGATCAAATCGCGGCGTTGCTGGCTCTCGCGAAGGCGAAGGTGACTGCGGTCTTTGGAGTGGAAAGTGGGAGCCTGCGACAAAGCGTGGCCGCCGTACGCCTCCTGTTGAGCACTGAGGCCTGCTGACTCTTCAATGTGGTTACGCGGTCCGGTCGCGACGGATGCGGGAGGACGACGATTCGCTGTGGCGCCGCGTTGGAGGTCCATGCAGTCCCGCGCATGTGGGCGCAGCGCCCGAACAGGACATGAGCGTCTGGAGGAGACGCAATATTGATGCAAGTACCGTTTAGAGGTACATGCATGTGTACTCCGTACTCTGCCCGCGCAATCTAGAGCCCAGGCACCTGTACAAGACCCCGTACAAGGCAGGACTTAGATTCCCAGAGCTCCCGATGTCCCAGACTCCAATACGTCTTTGTACTTTAAGTACTAAGTAGACTTGCCTAGAACTCTGACTAAGATTTGACGCGTTGGCAACCAGACAAGTATTAAGTGACTCGTCCTTGTAGTCGCTGACGGGTACTCGGTATGAACTACTAGTACTTAAGTCTAAGTATAACGTACCTCGAAGTACGTAGTCTGGTCTTCTGTGCGCCGCCACAAGACCCACTGAAGATGGCTTGTACCATTGATCACTGGGTAAAGTATTGATCAGATGGCACCAGACTCGCCACCTAAAGTGTCAAGTCAAGTCAAGATTGAATCCAGACTAGATTGATGTCTTGTTCCCGCTGGTGCCCGTACTCGATCAAGTTACAGGGCTCTTGCCGTGAAAACTTGGCATTGAAGGCCACTCTGGATGTCCTTAGATTCGGTAAGCCCTAACTAACATTTGAAATCCTTTGTGATTCTCAAAACGTGCCTGGTGAATCGTCAGGTGCCTCAATCTGCTCGTGCGTGCATCAACCTAAATAAGTACGGAGTACTCCGCAGCCATTCGCTGATGGCGTGCTAGTAGGGAAGCAAACATTGGAACAGCGACAAAAAAAAAATTTAGAAAAAGCCTGATGGCTGAGAAAGGTTAGTCGCCCAAAACAAAAATCCACAGGCTCGTGTTGGCTCGCTTCCACGCGAGTAATTGGCCAACCTTGAAGGTTATCTTTGGTGCGCTCTTCCGAGTCGTTCGACGGTAACATTTGCACGCCGGATATGAATTGGTCCATCGGGACAAATGAACATGGATGTGTGCTGCAGAAGATTTTGCACTGCAACCTTGTTGTGTTTCCCGCCGCATCTGCGTGCTTCTGTACCAGGACGGTAGTGGACTTGACGGAGTCCTTGTAACATTGAACCCATTAGCCATGCAGGCCAGTCCCCATGTCCACAGGCTTCCGCTCTGCATGGTCGTTCATGTGAGGGAAATATCGAAATCCAACTGATGGCTTTGTACATACAAATATGTACTGTGGCCACGCACGGAAAGGTGACCATGTGATCCTTTGGCTACTAGGTATTCATCTTTGAGGGCATGTCCCAAGCTGGGCGCTCAGACCAGCTTAAATTTATCGAGAAACGCGTGATCACGTGTCTCGAGGTAATGCAGTCTACGCCGGAAGGACATGGGTTCCCTGGCTTGAGGACGGTGCACAACACAACACAATATTATTTTCTCACCAAAATCATCGACAGCAACATCAAGACGCACTTGAGCTCGTCTTCAATGGCGGTGGTCCCACTTGCCAGCCCACCAATTCAACTCATTGGCGTCCTTCATATTTACCGTATGTATACATACGTAAAACGTGGCTCTATCTATCCATTGGACCACTAACCACAAGCTGGCTCGTCCCCTCCGTCCTTGTAACCATATGCGCCGCCATCTAGAATGACATCTTCGTTGTCATCAAGATCGTCTTGTACCCTTCGCCAGCCCTTCTTGCGCTCTTCCCGGCTCCTGGCTGCCCCAAAATCCTTGTCCTTGCCCTTCACCTCAAAAACAGGTCTCATAAGTGAGCCCAACAACGGGTTTCCGCTAAAGGCTCCTCCATTTGTACGATTTTGTCCCCCAGTATTCCCAGACGTCTCTCCCAATACCCCTTCATCGGGCTCGCTATCAAAGTCTTCATCCGGGGTTACTGGTCTCTCAACCGCAGCCATCTTCCGTACTACTCTGCCTCCGACTAGGTCAATGCTAATGACTTGCCGGCGTTTGTTATAATCGGGTTGGGCGTTCCATTCCATTTCTCTCAACAGCTTTTGTTGGCGTTTCAACTCTTTGGCTCGCTCTTCTGGGCTAGCCCACATGCTACCAGTGCCATTCATTGCTCCCGTGACGTC